CTTAAGACAAAGTACCTTAAGTGTATACATGTGCACCCATGGGATTTAGACCATGTATTTCCAAGTTTCATCAGTATATTAGCATGGTTGTATAAAAACATTAATAGTTGAGGAAAGCAAGGCAGTAGCTTAAATAGTTTGCCTCAGGTTTTTGCAGTTCACTCAAAGCAGGTCCTTCTTCAGTGCAACCATTGTTCTGTAAGTGTGCACATGGGTTGTTTTTTGTTTGTTTGTTTGTTTTGCAAGAATTTGAGACTAGAAAATCAGAGTACACATGACAAGCTTTGTGTTGTGTAATCGAATATTTGGAAGTTATTGACTCCTCTTTTACGTGTCAGCTAAAGAAAATAATGTGAAAGTGTTTTCAAAAACTTTGCCTTACAAAAAGGAGGTAAGAGAGCTGGGTGTGGTGGTGCCTTTAATCCCAGCACTTTGGAAGTAGAGACAGGCAGATCTCCATGAATTCCAGGCCAGCCAAAACCACACCTTTACTTAAAAGAAGAAAAGGGGGTTGGGGGATAAGAGATAATGGACTTAAGAAGGTTTCCAGTGGATCTCCAAGATACCACTTTATTGTTTGTCCTTGGAGGCTGCTGTTTTCCCTCTACAGCTGTACATTGTTTTATAAATTTTGTTTGCATATGGTTACATATATGGGGATTGGAGGATGACTTGCAGGAGTTCTCTACTGCCACCATGTGGGTGCTCGAATTGAACTCAGTTGTAGCAAGCTGGCTTTTACATTAATTCAGCCTAGGTTTTCCCTGACAAGAGCTGAGTTCAAGCATGAACATTATGAAAGTACCAGGTAGAAGCTAGAGGCTTTTTTATGACCAAGCTCAAGTTATAGTATCAGTGCCAGTCATGTTGTAAGAAAAATGTACTGTGACACCATTGCTGGTAGGTCTCCTGGAACATAGTCATTGGCTGTAAGATCTTAACAGAAGAGCTTCCTCAGTTTTCTTTATAATGGTCATATGATATAACTGTTCCTTTTTTTTTTTTCTAATGGTAAAATTTCTGTTCTCTTTGTCATCATATTTTCTTTAGTACCTTACAATCTCATTTTTGTGGTTTCTTGTTTTTCTTAGGCTACTCTTACACACACACACACACACACACACACACACACACACACACTCACACTCACACCACACTCAGACACACACCTTCCCTCCATGATGTCAGGGACCAGACCTAGCACCATGTTTGTAAGTTATGCAAAACACCCTACTGCTGAGCTATGTCCCCTGCTATGTGTTAGACATTTAACTCTTGCTTTTCTGTTTGTGGTTTCAGGTTACAGTCCTGTAGTGGATGTCATCTTCAAATGTTTGCTCCTGAACTTATTTCTGTAATGTGATCCTTGCACATGGTTATAAAGCCAAAAGAAGCTTTAATGACTAAGATTTAAAGGGTTCCTGGCTTTTTATAAATTTCCTCCCTTAGAACACTGCTAGTTTCTATGGGTGTCTTGGCTTAATTCCTGTTAATCTGGGTGGATTTGGGAGGTTACTTTAATTTTTTGTTTTGGACCGGCACTCAAAACATCCTCACATCTCAGCCCCTCAAGTACTGATGTTATTAGGGTTATGTGCCACCACCTACATCCCTTATCTATGCTTTGTTCCTATCTCTGCTGGGTGTGGTAATGGAATCTCAGCATTCAGGAGCCAGAAACAGGTGGATTACTGCCAAATTCAGGGCAAGTCTTTTCTACCTAAGGAGTTTTAGCCAGTCATAGTTACATAGTTTCAAAGTCCTGGTTTTATTTATTTTTTGAGTGTGTGTTTTTTGTTTTTTTTTTTTTGAGCTGAGGATCAAACCCAGGGCCTTGCGCTCTACCACTGAGCTAACTCCCCAACTATTTTTTGAGATTTTTAAAATATGTATGAGTATTTTGTGTGCTCAAATGTGTATATCCACCTACATGTCTGGTGGCAGAGGAGGCCAGAAAGGAGGGCATTGGATCCCCTCCAACTTCAGTTACAGGTGGTTAACTGCATGTGAATGCTATGAAGCAAATGTGGGTTCCCAGAATCCCAGCTTCCAACCTCATAACTTTTTTTTTTTTTTGCCATTTCTATGTTGTAAAATTCTCAACTTTTAAAGTATGCTAAAGAGTTTTGTAGACTTTTTCCACATACAGCTAAACCCCTTAAGCCTAACTTAATTGCATTAACTTTTTCTGTGGTGAGTATGTTCAGGACTCATGATACTACTAAGGCTTGGCTTTTGTTTGTTTTTTTAACTATAAGGAAGAATTTTATTATCAGATGACCAGATCAGGAAGCAAAATATTATGAAATGTGATATTAGGCAGCAGATAAGTAATTAGGTGACAAGCAAAATCATTAATTCAGCATTTCAAAATATTTCCACTTTATTGATACTATCTCCCCTCTCCTGGTCCACTAAGAATTAATATCAAGGAATTTACTGGTGCTCCTTCAAAGTCTCTGTCTTACTTGCTTCTGTTTTGTCTCCATTCTCTATCTTCCTTTCCCCTTTGCCATTTTTCTTATCTTCCCCCTTCTTTTGTTTTCTTCTCTCTTTCCCTTTCTCATTTAAAAAAAATCGACCAAAAATATGTATAAAATCAAACCATCAAGATAAGTAAATTGTGACTAATTTTTGGGATTGTGGTTAAAACCTTTCTGTGGGTGGGCCTAAATGGATACATGGTCAGACATCAGTTGTCATGGGCTTATGTTCTTGCCGAACAGTGGGGAAGAAGGGATGGTAAAGTGATATTTTCATGTTTATTTTGTGGAAAGGGGTAACAGGGACTGATGAGGCATAAATACTGCCACAGAAAGGAGAGTAGTCGAAACCCAAATAGGAAATGAATGTGCCTCCCATGCAGCATTTTCTGCTGCATCTGATGACTGAATTCAGTAACAGATTCCCTGAGGAAAATAGATCAGCAAGTCACATAGTTGCTGTTGAATTTCTACTCTTCAAAGAACCTATTTGCTTAAGGAAGCCCATCTTACTGTGCTTAGGACCATAAAGATGTCTGGGTGCCAGAACTAGGATGTGACATATAGTGTAAAACCAGGTGTAAAGTAAATACCTAGTAAATACCTATTGATGGTTGGGTAATTCATCTAATAGGAGAAATAATTAAAGCAAAGAACCTAATTTAGAAAGAAACAATCCTAATTTAGAAAGAAACAATCCTAAAAGTTAATAGACATGAAGCATATTCTTAGTACACTTTATAAAGGCAAAAGAGACTGGGGAAAGAAAGAGGAGAGGAAAGGAAGTGAGGTAAGGAAATGTGTGGACGTAGAATATCTGAGCAGTAGCATAAACATTTTCACCTCTGTCAGTTCATGAAGTAGTTAGTGTAAAACTAAAAGTCCTGTTGGTATTATTTCAGGGAGTGAGGAAAGGACCAGAGAAAAAAAGCAGTTCATTTAACCTCAATAGTATTGAAGCTTTAACATTAGCATATGCCTGTGTACTCACATACGCATAGCCTGGTTGGGTTGGGTTTAGTTTTGTGACAGGGTCATGTGTAGCCAATGATGGCCTTGAACTTTAGGGTGATCTGGAACTTTATATTCTATTTCCCTCCCCAGCTCTCACTGCTGGGATTACAAGTGTGTACCACTATACCCTGGTTTTTTTGGGGGGTTTTTTTTTGGGGGGGGGCGTTGATTGGTTGGTTGGGGTTTTTTTTTGGTGCTAGAGATGGAACCTAGGACTTTGTGCTTCCTAGGTAAGCACTTTAGCAACACAGCTATATCTCTGATATCTACTTAATAAGTTTTAATAATCTCTTTCCTTTTCTCTTTTATTTTTTATTTTCTTGGTGTGCATGGGTACTTTGTCTGCATGTATGTACACAGTGCCTGTAGGGACCATAGGAGGGTGTTAGATCCCCTGGAACTTGAGTTACAGACATTATAAGCCGTCATGTGGGTGAAGGAATTGAACCCGTGTCCTCTGGAAGAACCAACAGTACCATTAAGCACTGAGCCATCTCTCCAACCCCATTATTTCTTTCTTTCTACCTTATTCTGCTTCAAATAAAGGAAATGAATTCTAGTCCTGTGAACAAAGACTTCATTAGGATTACACCCCTTTTTGAAGATACATCAGTGTTTTAGCTCTGAAAGTTGAAACGCTGACTTGGTTTGGTTTTGATTTTTAAAAAGACTCAGTCAGGTGATTGTGGTGGCACACACCTTTAGTCCCGGCACTTGGGAGGCAGAAGCAGGTGGATCTCTGTGAATTTGAGGTCAGCCTGGTCTACAAAGCAAGTTCCAGGACAGCTAGAGTTGTTGTTACACAGAGAAACCCTATGGGAGGTGAAGTGGGGGGCACAAGGCTCACAGTGTAATCCTAGCTGGCTTTGTACTTGAGACAATCCTGCCTCTCCAGTGCCAGGATGATAGGTCAAGTATAAGGCACTAAATGTTAAACTCCTAAGACTAATTTTAAAACCATATCCATGTACTAGCAGATTTCCCCCATATTACCATATGTTCAAACGATAACATATGACTAGTTTATGCCCCCTGGCTAGTTGACTGCTTTAAAATACTTTTTACACAGTTTTAATTGCAGCACTCAGATGGCCAAGCTAGGAGGGGGAGATCCTCCCATCTCTGCTTCTCAACTTCCAAGGTCATAAGCATGTGGGTTCATACCTCTATTTTTCCTTTTTTCTTTTTTTTCAGTGTGGAAGATTGGACCCAAGGCCTCAACTATTGAACCAGTCTTCAGCCTAGTCCATCCATCTTTCTTTCTTGAAACAGGGTCTTACTATGTAGCCTTGACTGATCTGGAGCTCACTCTGTATACCAGAATGGTCTTAAAATCACAAAGATCTACCTGCCTCTCCCTCCTAACATCTGGGACATACATTTTTTATAACCTCAATTACTTCCATTTTTTTTTTCTTTTAATGGTGAAAAAGTATATTTAGAAGCTACACAGAGAAACCCTGTCTCGAAAAACCAAAAAAAAAAAAGTATATTTAGAATTAGCCAGCTGGACTCAGTTTAGATGATCCCAATTTTGTTGGCAACATCCAGAGCATCATAGTCAGGAGCCAACCAAACATATGCCGTCTTCTCTCCATCAGGCCTTATGAGGGTGCTGACTTTGGCCACATCAATGTCATAGAGTTTCTTCACAGCCTGTTTGATCTGGTGCTTGTTGGCCTTGACATCCACAATGAACACAAGTGTGTTGTTGTCTTCTATCTTCTTCATGGCTGACTCAGTGGTCAGGGGGAATTTGATGATGGCATAGTGGTCAAGCTTGTTTCTCCTGGGCACGCTCTTTCGAGGATATTTAGGCTGCCTCCTGAGCCGAAGGGTCTTGGGCCGCCGGAACGTGGGTGACGTGCGGATCTTCTTCTTTTTGTGGCTGTGGATGCCTTTCAGCACTGCCTTCTTGGCTTTCAAGGCCTTCGCTTTGGCTTCGGCTTTGGGAGGTGTAGGAGCTTCCTTCTTCGCTTTCGGCGCCATCTTGGCGAAAAGGATTGCTTATTCTACTTCCATTCTTTAGTAGCTATTGTGAACAATGCTGCCTTAAACATTGGCATACAAATATTATTCGATACTCTTTTTATTAATATTGGATATCTGTTACCTACAGAGGTCAGAAGAGTGTATCAGGTGCCCTGGAACTGGAATTATGGATGGTTGTAAACTGCCATATGGGTGCTGGGAAGTAAACTCGGTTTTCTATAAGAGCAGTGAGTGCTTCTAATCGCTGGATCATCTCTCCTGCCCCAACTTTGTGTTGTATGAAGAATGGAAGTATTTTTGTGGACAGAACACACCAGACACCAACTGCCAGCATATCTGGGGCTTTTGATATGAGAAAGGGTCTCACTGTATAACTGAGATTGACCTTCAACTCTAACTCCTTTTTGTTTAAACCTCCAAGTGCTTAGATTACAGGCATGTGGCACCATGCCCAGCTTATTTTCTACACACTAAAAATCACTTCACCTTCACCATAGGAATTTTTTTGAGTATATTCACCTGCATTTTGGGTGTTTCAAAAACTTAGGAGTCTTAGGTTTTTGTATATTTAAATCCAGTAGTCTTAAGGATGTGTGTGTGTGTGTGTGTGTGTTAATTCTAATAAATAATTTTTAGTTGAATTCAATACCTAACTTAGAAGCCTGAGGATGTAACTTGCCTGAGGATGTAACTTAGTGGTAGAGTGTTTGGCTAGCAGTAGTCAGGTCTAGAGTTCTGTCCTCAGCATTACAAATAACCATCTCGATGTGGAGTGGAATTAATTCCTGTAGTTTTTCTATACCCTCTGTGTTTAATTGGTACAGTTGTAGGAAACATTAACTGTTTTTGTTACTCATTTCTCATAATATTGTTACTCATAATATTAAAATATTAAATTATGGTGATGTGGGCATTATTGTTCACAGAGTCATAATTCCTAAGAACCTTGCTATTGGGTGGTATGCTAGTTTCGTGCTTATGGATGAATTAGTTGCGGTGTTCTAAGAAAGAACTCTTAAGGACTGAATATTAATTCCAATGCCTTTCATAGTTTATGTAGATGAAAATGTTATTTGTTTTAGACTATTAGTATAATGGTTTACTGCTTCTGAAAAGAACTCTTAATTGAGTTATTGTTATGCTTTTAATGTATTTAATATTTTTTGTATGTACTTGGCATTTTTAACATTTATGAATATGATTGGTTGTCTTTTTAAATATTTTTCCTTTTTTAAAAAAATTTATTTTTATGTGCATTGATGTTTTGCCTACATGTTGAGGGTGTCAGATCTTCTGGAACTAGAGTTACAGTTGTGAACTGTAGGTGTTTGGAATTGAACCCAGGTCCTCTGGAACAGAAGCCAGTGTTCTTAACCACTGAGGCATCTCTTCAGCCTTTTTTTTTCCTTTCTTTATTGTATACATGTGTGCATGTAGCACAGGGGTATAGAGATCAGAGGATGACTTTTTCTTCTTCCTTTTGAGGGTTCCAATAATGGAACTCAGATTTACCTGAGCCATCTCACCTACCTAGATAAGTGATCATTTCTTATAACATAACTTGTTTGAGAATTGGACTGGACTTTTGTTAAAGTAACTTAATTGACAGTTATCTCCATGTACTTAGAATTGATTCCTATTTATGCACATTGTATGTTTGTTTGCTTTGCCTTTTTGGAGTTTGGGGTGGGGGTGTTGAACAGGGTGCTATTCTGTAGCCCAAGCTGACCTGAAACTCCCTGTGTAGCTCAGGCTAGCTCCAAGCTTGTAATAGTCCTTTTTATGAGTGCTAAGATAACAGGTGCTGTGCCTGCCTCTGCCTCTTCTTGGCTTTTTGAGACAGGATTTCATTCTGCATCCCAGGCAAGCCTGGATCTCAGTAGATATCCAAAGCTGGTCTTGAATTCACAGTAGTCCTCCTGCCCCAGACTACTGATTATGATAGAATGTGCCACCACACTAGGCTAAAATGGAATATACAATAGGATATATTCTAGTACTAAAGTTAAAGTAGGAGAGGAATTGCAGGGTGCAGTGGAAATGGCTTAAAAGTGGATGGTGCATGGGTTTGATGGTTAATTAAACTGAGGGCACATATATGAACCGAACTAAATTGTCAGCCCTTGTTTATTGCTCTAAGGGCAGTGGGATATGGTAGAGTGGAGCCTAAAAATGAGGTGGACTAAAGTCTCGTGCAATAACCATTCAGAGCATCAGGCAATTTATACTCTGAGGGTCAAGAAAAATCACTTGAGTAAAGTTCTCATGAGTTCAAAATGTATACAATAACAAAGACAAGGTGCATGTGGTAAAAACGAGTTTTTCCATAGAGGCATATGAACAAATAGCAATAGCCAGTTGTAATTAGTAATCTAAAATAAACTCACTCCTATCTGCTATACCTAGGAGGGGCATGAAAGCACAATCCAAGAACAGTTCCCTGTTTTTTGAGGAAATATGTCAGAAATCTTGGCTTGCTTTCTTGGAGTTTTCTCACAAGTACTCAGACTTCTCATACAACTCTATTCTTGGACATGTTCTGACAAACCCTTAGGTTTATGTATGGATTTTAGACCTAACTGGCCTCAAATTCATGATTCTTCAGCTTCCAGTGAATAAACACTGGGATTACAGTTTTGTGTCACCATGCCCGATTAAAGTACTCTTTTATAGTGGCACTTTTTGTTAAAATTAGAATCAGAATAAAAAAAAAAGTCTCTTGCCACATAGCTTGACCTGAATTCAGTCAGTGTAGCCCACACAGTGGAAGGAAAGAACCAATTCCTGAAAGTTGCCCTCTGACCTATACACATACTGGGCACACACATACATGCACAGAGTATTTTTAAAGATTTGTTTTACTTTATGATGTGAGTATTCGCCTGCATGTATGTATCTGCACCTTGGATATCAAATCTCCTGGACTGGAGTTACAGATGATTGTGAGCGTCCATGTGGGTGCTGGGAACTGAACCCAGGTCCTCTGCAAAAGCAGGAAGTGCTCTTTACTGCTGAACCGTCTCTCCAGCCCCATTTCTTATTTTTTTTTTTTTTTAAAGACTTCTTTATTTATTATGTATACAGAAGAGGGCGCCAGATCTCATTACAGATGGCTGTGAGCCACCATGTGGGTGCTGGGAATTGAACTCAGGACCTCTGGAAGAGCAGTCGGTGCTCGGTGCTCTTAACCTCTAAGCCATCTCTCCAGCCCTTGTTTTGTTTTTTATTTCATCTATATACAGAGTTCCAGTACAGCCAGGGCTACATAGTGATACTATATCTCAGAATAAATAAAAAGGAGACAGGGAAAGGAAAAGTTAAAAATTCTTAAGATGAAGGAGGAGAAGGGTGGTGAAGAACTGGTGGCTCAGTGATGCAAAGTGTGTACTGCTTCTGCAGAGGACCAGGTTTGCTTCCCACCATCTTCTCACATAGACTAGCACACACAGTAAACAGAGCATCATGGCACACCTTTAATTCTGGCATTTCTCTGGCAGAGGCAGACAGATCTTTAAATTTGAGGCCAGCCAAGGCTACATAGTGAGAGCTTACATATTTGTGTATGTGTGTGTGTGTAATATATTTTTTTTTCCCTTAGAATGAGAGAGGATCTAGTGACTTGAGTTTAAACTCCAGTGGTCTTCTGAATTAAGCCATACACACACGAAAAATAATAAACTTGTTTTTAAAAAGAACATAGGAACTCAGAGAGACTAACAACATGCACAAGGCCTGCACAAGTTCAAATCATGCAATACCCCAGCAAGGAGAAGGAAAGTCTTATCCCTAACTACAAAGAAGCTATTTTCAGTTGATACCTTCGGGGAAAGGGAAATGAATTCTATCCAGTGAGAGACACTGGGTATTATCAACCACATTCTAGCACAGGCCCCATGCCCAAAAGTAGTTGGCCAATATAAAATGGACTCCATAATATGTGTGTGTACACGAACTTAATGTTTTGGGTTTTTTTGCTTTGATTTGATTTTCATTTTTTGAGAGAGAGAATGTGAAGTTTGGGGGATATGGAGATTTTGGGGGAAGTTGGGAGGGTAACTTAGTTAGGGTTTCTATTGCTTCAACAAAACACCATGACCATAAAGCAAGTTAAGAGGAAAAGGATTATTTGTCTTACACTTTCAGATCATATAGTCCATCTTTGGAGGAAGTTAGAATAGGAACTCAGGCAGAGCTGGAACCTGGAGGCAGGAGCTGATGCAGAGGCCATGGAGGGGAGCTACTTACTGGCTTGCTCAGCCTGTTTTCTTGTAGAACCCAAGACCCACCTGTCCAGGGATGGCCCCACCCACCATAGACTGGGCCCTCCCCCATTGATCACTAATTGAGAAAATGCCTTACAGCTGGATCTCATGGAGACATTTCCTCAACTGAGACTCCTTCTCTGATGGCTCTAGCTTGTGTCAAGTTGACACACAAAACCAACCTGTACGGAGAGGAAATATGATCAATAATATATTGTATGGAAAAAAAGTGTAAATAAAAAGAGAGGGAGTATTGGATCTGTTTGACAAATCAGATATGTACAGAAGCAATGATGAGTATGTATTTGTGCCTAGATAACAATAAGGGCTTGGTTTTAGGAAATTCACAAGTTCTTTATATGAAAGAATATTGTTTGTGTGTAACTGTACTTCTGTGTGGGTTGTGGGGGGCGGGGTAATTGGTTTTGTGAATTCTCATGTAGACCAGGATGGTCTTGAACTTACTATGTACCCAATATTGACTTTGAACTTCTGGTCCTCCTGCCTTCCACCTCTTGTGAGCTAGGCTTACCATCATGCACCACTACACCCAGCTTACTAAAATGTAAGAAAGAACTTAATCTGATTTCACTACTAAGGTCTTCTATGAAGAAATGTATTTATCTAGTTTCAAGCAAGTTTACTAGGTCTACAGGGTTGGGGCAGTCAGTGAGATGGCTTAGCAGGATCTGAGTTTATTCTTTCTCTCACAGTGGAATAAGAACACCAACTCCTGAATGCTGTCTTCTGATATCAATGTATATCCATCATTCACACAATAAATACAATAAAAAAAATATGAAGTGGTAGGCTAGGGTTTGGTTCTGTTGGTAGAGCACTTGTCTAGCATGCATGAAGCCCTGAGTTCTATCCCTGGCACCACATGTGGCATCAGTGGAGAGGGAGAGACAGGAGGATCAAAAGTTCAAGGTCATCCTTGGCTATGAAGTGAATTCCAGGCCAACTTGGCCTTCATGTCTTAACAAAAAGTTGAGAAAAAGGATAAACTTATTACAGATATTTTCTTTTTCAGCTGCCTTTCTAACCCAAACTGTGTGTCTTGATGATACAACAGTAAAATTTGAAATATGGGATACAGCTGGCCAAGAACGATACCATAGCCTAGCACCAATGTACTACCGAGGAGCACAAGCAGCCATAGTTGTGTATGATATCACAAATGAGGTGGGTATGAAATCTTACTACCCTGACTGAAGCCAGTTGGAATAATCATTTTTCGTATTCAGAATTCAATTCCTTTGTAGCCAATCATAACATTTCTGCCAAAGCTCTTGTGAGTGAGATATAAGATGAAGGTGTCTAAATGATGCAGGAATCCTAAGAATTTTCTTCCCAGGAGGCTGGAGAGATGGCTCAGCAGTTAAGAGCACTGGCTGCTCTTCTAGATGTCCTGAGTTCAATTCCCAACAACCACATGGCAGCTCACAACATCTATAATGAGATCTGGTGCCCTCTTCTGACCTGCAGACATATATGCAGGCAGAATACTGTAAACATAATAAATAAAATAAATCTTTAAAAAAACAAAAAAAAAGAATTTTCTTCCTACAGGGCATGCTAGACCAGTGGTCCTCAACCTGTGGGTCGTGACCCCTCTGTGAGTGTGAATGACCCACAGGGGTCACCTGAGACCATCCTGCATATCAGGCATGGACATTACAGTTCATAAGAGTAGCAAAATTATAGTTAGGAAGTCGCAACAAAAATAATCTAATGGTTGGGGGTCACCACATCATGAGGAACTGTATTATATTAAAGGTTCACAGCATTAGGAAGGTTGAGAGCCACTTCTCTAGAGTCTTTAAGCCTTGTTTCATAGAAGATGCTTCATAACTCTATTTTGAGCCTGTGCCAAATAGCTTTTTTTTTTTGTTTGTTTAATAGGAGTCCTTTGCAAGAGCAAAAAACTGGGTTAAAGAACTTCAAAGGCAAGCAAGTCCTAATATTGTGATAGCTTTGTCAGGAAACAAGGCTGACCTAGCAAATAAAAGAGCTGTTGACTTCCAGGTATGTGGAATTTTACTTTAACTTAAAAGCATATTTAAAGCAAGAGGATCAAGAGTTTAAGGATAGCCTGAGCTACTTGAGACCCTGTCTCTTTCCCAAAAAATAATTTCATGAAAAATTACAGAAATACTGTTCTGTAACCTTCCACCCCTCCACTCATATTCACACCTGAGAAAGGCTAATGTTCTTCCTACTTTCTCATGTACGTGCATGCTTCATATATTACTACACACACATACACACATGCACGCATGCATATTTAGATAGCTGTCCTTAAAGGAAAATTTAAAAATAGAAGCGCAGCTGCTCTTCATTTGAGGCCGGGCAATGTGACTTAGCATATAAAGGTGCTGAGTTCTATGCCTAGAAATGCAGATTTTCCTCTAACCTCCATATGCATACTGGCACGTATATACCCCAAACATATGCATACACACACAAACACATGTAAATTATGTATGTGTAGTTATGTATGCAAAAATAACAATGTTTGAGCCAAGTATGGCAGTTCATCACTATAATTGCACCACTTGGGAGGCAGAGGTAGGAGGATTGCCATAAGTTTGAGACCAGCCTGACTTTGCATAGTTACATGGCATCCAGGGCTACACAGTAAACCCATCTCAGAAGAGGAAGAAGTAGGGGGAAAAAAGCCTTAAGTGTAAGAGAGGCTTCATGAGCAAAGGTGCTGTCAGTCATGACAAGTGACAATCTGGATTTCTAGAAGTGAATATACTGATTTGTCATCTGACCTCTAGGCTCCTCTATCTCCAAATAAATTAATGTAAAAAAAAAATTTTAAGACCTCTAATTTGTGTATATTTAAGATAATTCTGAATGTCCTCCACTACAAAACAGTGTATGAGTGAATGCTAGTCTTTTAGAAATAAAACAGATCTTTCTAGATTTATGAAAACTGTTTCTATTTCTCTTGCTCAGAAAGCTCTAGCTGTGGCCTAATATGTACATCAGTGATGAAATTCTTTCTTCTTGACATTACAGGAATAGAGAGAAAAGGAGCTACTGTTACATATTAAGCAGAACACTTTGCACTGTGACTTAAGACAGCCATGTGAGGTTTTGTTATCTGCTATGCTGTCCAAACAGTTAAGCTCCCCAGCAAAACATGTTAGAGAGCTTCAATTATGTTCAAAAGTGGCCCTGTGCTCTAACAGCTCAAAGGGGCCTCAGTTGTTCCTACTCAGAAGAGCTGTGGGAACCAAAGGCAACAATATAGCTAAACTAGTAAGTGTGACAGAAATATAGGGCAGTTTGTAATTTTGAAGGAATTGTTCATAATATAGTTGGAATTTTAAATCTGTATGTCATTGAAAATTAAACATGAGGGTGTAATTCCAGAGTTGTTGCCAATGTTCAGACATTGGATTTCCATATTTATTGCAAATTCTATCTTTTTTTTTTTTTTTTTTTTTGGTTTTTTCGAGACAGGGTTTCTCTGTGTAGCTTTGCGCCTTTCCTGGAACTCGCTTTGGAGACCAGGCTGGCCTCTGAACTCACAGAGATCCGCCTGGCTCTGCCTCCCAAGTGCTGGGATTAAAGGTGTGTGCCACCACCACCGCCCAGCCGCAAATTCTATCTTTATCTTTAAAAGGCATAATAAAAATTGCCATTGAAAGTAAAGAGTATTTAGAGTAGTAAAATTATACGCTGTCCCCAGTTATTGTGATTAGATTTAATATTAGACCTGATGACCAAAAGTGGAATAGGCAAAAAGTTAAGGTTAAAAAAAAAAAGTCTGGTGAATTATCCCACTCATTGTTTTTTCCTTTGCCACAGCATATTCTCTGACTCTTAGTAATAAGTAATCAAATAAATCTATGAAATAAAGCAGGTATACAGTATATGTTCAAGGGACAAATCTTTTTTTATAAACAGGAAGCACAGTCCTATGCAGATGACAACAGTTTATTATTCATGGAGACATCAGCTAAGACATCAATGAATGTAAATGAAATATTCATGGCAATAGGTAAGATTAATAATAACATTCTTCAAATGATAAGCAAAATACATTGAATATTTGGTCCATGCCCTCTAAAACATTATTTGGTTTTCTTAACTGATTATACTTTTAGATCCTTTCCACTAAGCAATATTTTGTTAGTAATACTGTAAAGACTGGTTGGGAAGCAGGACATACTAGCCAGCCTGGGCATAAGACCCTGCCTCTTAGTGGGGTCTTAGTGGGATCTTAGAGTGGGGAAGAAAAAAAGATTGATTGATTGTCAAAAGGTTCCTCCTCTTCCTCTCCTCTTTTTTCCCCCTCTTCCAATTTTATGAATTAAATCCAGGGTCTCCAGCATGCCAAGCAATCTCTGTACCTACCACATCACATTCCCAACCCCAGTAATGTCAGATTTATATTGATTCATGAATTCAGGGTTATATAATACATGTGAATTAAAAGTTGATCTCAGATAAGAGGTAGATTGTCCAAAGGTTTCACTAAAAAGTTTGAGCAAATGAAAGTTTTCCTGTGTACAATAGTTCCTCTTACCTGTAGGGACTATATTCCAAGACACTGTGGATGCCTGAAACTATGGGTAGTGTTATAACGCCTTTGATACTTTTTCTGTCCTAAGTATACACAGAGATGGAATAGCAAAACAAGCATAGATTTCCTTCTCCTTCCCATGTACAGATTTTTTTCTGCATGGGAAAGAGATCAGACTCCAAACATTAAATATGGTAGGCAAGTGCTGTACTTTTGAACTACGTCCCCACTGTTGAAGATTTGTTTTCCTGAGTTTGAGTTTTGTTGATGCTGAGTTCAAGTTTAGGCTTGGTTTTTATCTAGGCTGGACTAGAACATGGGGTCTTTGTGCCTCAGACTCTAGAGTGCTGGGTTTATAGGTGTACCAACAGGCCTGGCTTGGAAGTTTCCTTTTTTAAAAAATTTTTATTTATTTGTTTGTTTATTTATTTATTTTTATTTTATTTGTTTTGTTGTTGCTTTGAGATAGGGTCTCACGTACCTGAGGATGACCTTGTACTTGTGCTTTAGGGCCATTCTAAGTAAAATAAGGTCATGTTAACATGAACACTATGATACCAAGGTAGTCTGATAACCAAGCTGGCTACTAGTAGGTAGGTAGTTGGTACATATTGTTGATATGTTAGACAAAAATGATCCATTCCATGTTCAAGGCAGGAAGGTGGGGACAATTTAGAATTTCAGCATGTGCCTTAGAACAGCGTACACTTTTGTTTCATATACATACACCTGCACACAGGTACTCTTGCTAGTGTGAGTATACATAGAAGCCAGAGGTTGACACTGAGATATTTTCCTCCGTTGTTTCTCCATCTTTCTTTCTTTTTTTTTTCTTCTTTTTTTTAAAGATTTATTTATTATGTATACAGTATTCTGCCTGTGTGTGTCCTTGCAGGCCCGAAGAAGGCACCAGATCTCATTATGGATGGTTGTGAGCCACCATGTGGTCACTGGGAATTGAACTCAGAACCTCTGGAAGAGCAGTCAGTGCTCTTAACCACTGAGCCATCTCTCCAGCCCCGTCTTTCATTTTTAAACATTTATTTTGTGTCTTCCTCAGCACAAATGTGGAGGGCAGGACAATTGGCTCTACTCTTTATAGTAGATATGGAACTGAAGTCATAAAGCTTGACAGCAAGCACCTTTAACTCCTGAATCATCCTACTATCCCATTGTTTTGACCCTGAGTCTTTCAGTGAACTCTGAGCTCTTTGAAAAATCCCAAGATATTTCTATTCCTACATGATCCACCCCAGTTCTGGAGTTACATGTTCATGTTTTTTTAACTTGGGTGCTGAGAATCCAGACTCAGAACTTCATGGTTACACAACAAACATTAACTGAACCTGTTTTATTTTTTTTCAGACAGAGCCTCACTGTATGGCCAAGGCTGGCCTGGAACTCCAGCTCCTCCTGCCTCAGTCTCCAAAGTGCTGGGATTACAGGATGGAGCAACCATTCCCAGTTAGGCTATACTTTAGACTTGTTTAAGACTTGTAGGCTGGGGAAATAGCTCTGTGGTACAGCACTTGCGTTGCATTCTTGAAGCCCAGTTCTGTTCCCAGCTTCCAGGTTCTGTTTCAAATTAAACTCTTTCCCTTTTTAAAAGAAATCTCCAGTGTAAATAGAACTATGGTCTTTTCTTAATAAAGTTAGCATCTCAAATCACATAGTGCAGTCCAATTAACAAAAACAGTCCTTGGTCCTGTTTGCTTCCTTCTTCCTCCTGATTTCAGTCAGATATGATTAGAGAAAGTCCTTAAAGGAGTAGGCTATAGGGAGAAATTCTGCACATTCCAAAACCCAACTCTGTATTTATTATAGTACAGTCTACAGTGCTAGCTTATTCTGTGTCCATAGTACAATTGTTAATCCACTTACTGGGCATTGTTTGTAAATACATATGACTGAACATTTGTCTTTATTGTACTTTATGGTACCATCTCTAGAGCCATTCCTAGGGTGGCCCAGTGGAAGCTCTTTCCAAACGTCAGTGCTCACCAGACCTGCTTCTAACATCTGAGATTCTAAAAATAATATTGATGTGGGAAAAGTAAGAAAAAATAGAGCGTTAAAAAATGCAGGATGAAAAAAATGCAAGATGAGGGAGTGTGGCTTAGTGGTAGTTGTTAATCTGTGTAACGTGTGCAGGGTCCAGGATTCCAGGGGGGGATTGGGCATAAAGTACTACTCTTAGGAATATTGCTACTTTGTCCTCAGGATTAAGCCATGGACCTAGCAGGTAAAGTTTTAGTGGGAAGCATACTCCATAGAACCGCTTTTAATTGTAAACTCACAAAGCTAAATCTATTTGTGTATATTAAGTATCACTATTTTTGTAGATCAGATCGAGATTCTCAGCCCAAGAGGGAACAACTTAGATATTTGAAGGTGTGGAAGCCAGGAAGGAAGTAGATGCTGTGTGTCATCTAGTTCAGTTTCTGATTAGGTTGCACAGTAATGGACAAGTTTGGTTGTGTTGGTGTGGTGGTTATGTTTATAAAATTTGTTCATATCCTGGGTTGTTCTCAGATTATTTGGGACAACCCAGAGAATGCTGCCATAATGTGAGCTTCTTTATAAACTTTATAGCTGGCCATGATCTATTGACTGAATTTTATGTCTCTCTTGATAGTTTTGTTTTTCAAAATGGAGTCTTGATGTGCTTACTCAGGGTAGTTTGAACCTCCTGGGCTCAAGTGATTGTCCCAACTCATTCTCTAGAGTGAATCATGGGAATTACTGAGAGCTGCTCTAGCATGCTCTCACACCATGTCTCATCATGTCTAGCAGATTGTATATAGTAGAAATTTAATGAATATAAAACAGTCTGAGTATAGCTAAGTGGTAGTGGACTTGCCTATTTTGCATGTGAACCAGCACAATGCAAAGTATTAATACTTAAGTAAAATATGCTATTTCTAAGGGAATTGATGTAAAAAATTGTGTATAGTTCTAGTTAAATTTAAGTTTAAATGGTATGCCTACAATTGGCCTCTTCGCAAACACTAAGTAATTAAACTTTAGTACAGCAACCAGTGGGGTGTTTCTTGTGGGTTATTTTGGTATTTTGTTTTGCTTTTGGCATTTAATAGACGATAAACATTTGAAAAGAGCAAACATAAGTCAGTCACATAAAACTTTGGAGATAGCCCAACTGGGAAAATAAGCAGGTCTAAGTGATTTTAATATGAATATTATAATTTTATTTTGGTCATTTCTTTCTTAGCTAAAAAGCTGCCAAAGAATGAACCACAGAATCCAGGCGCAAACTCGGCCAGAGGACGAGGAGTAGATCTTACTGAGCCTGCACAGCCAGCCAGAAGCCAGTGTTGTAGTAACTGAATTCCAGTGTGAACTTCCTAAATTGCAAAAAACGTGGAGTGGGAGCATTTAGCCGGCCCATTGTGACTTCCAAAAAGAGACTTATGGTAGAATCAAGTTTCTAATACTGAATTATTTTGAGTGTTTTGAACTTAATTTTTAATAACATGCATGTATTCTTCCGACTAATGTTTCGGCAGTAGAAAGGGAAATGAGAACTGTGTACAATTTTTTCCATGGGAAAGTACAGGGGAACCATTCGTCTCCAGTTGGTATGGACCCACACTTAACCCACCTAGTCTCCAAACTGGGATAATAGTCAGGTGTGAAAGACTCAAAATTACTAATGTGAGCTTTAGAGAAACATTTTTAGAAGACTAAAAATATTTATGCTTAGCAACAGAAGCCAAGCAAATGGTAATTTCTTCTATTGTCTAATAAGTGTACATTCCACATATTAATAAATAATCCTAAGAAAACAGTCCTACATCTCCAGAAAGAATGAATATTAGTAACATCTTACTCAGTCCTGTTATTTCTTAAAATATGATTGAAAAGAAGTCATGTGTAACCCCATCTTGTTTTAGGAATATAAAAACTGATAAATGCATCTTAATGGATAATGGTCCCTTCACGGGAGCTCTTCAACAAAGTGGAAATAAACCAGGTGTCTGATTTCTCTTTAATCACTGTTGGCCATTACATAGAGGTCTGTCTGGAGCAGGGAGGGAGCTCTGGTTCCTTTTGGACATGATTAGTCAGTGCACTAACAATTATGTACATTCAAACTTGATGATTTTAAATATGATCTTCAGCTGTACTGTAAATAGAGTACTGCATTATAGTCTCCATGTTTATTATTTTCTGTAATATTTAAGAATTGCCTAAGAGTATACAAAATGTACAGTTACTAAAACAGCTAATTATTTCTTTCTCCCCCTATGAAAGGAAGGGGCTTTGCTGTTCTTTCATGGCTAGAACCATAATAAACACTGTACCTGTAATTTGTAACATAAGTATTACAATGTTATTAGTAATAATCTTGAAACCTTGTTTTTCAAAGTCCATTTTATTTTGATCAGTATATTGCACTAATTATTTTAGGTATTTTCATTATATGAAATCTACCATGTGTCAGATGATTTAATCTATTTAAGTGTTGATCTGCTAGCAGAACTTGTACATTTTACAGTAACTCAAAATTAGTAAGGAAAACAGTTCACCAGTGTTTAGTTTTATATTGAGGTGCTCAGGTTGGAATAAAGTGGTATAAAAAGCAACATTGAGTTTTCTTTCTCTTTAACATAAAGTAGTGAGCATAACACGCATGGTATATAACTGGAAGCTTTTGTATTTTCATTCCCTTTTCTTAAGAATGATTCTCACAGTCATTATCTGTCCTAGAGTCTGACGCACTGAAGTCTTTGTGGTACTGTTTGCTGCTGTAGGTCTTCAGAATGTTTTTATGACAGCAGCTGATACTCACTGCCATTTAGAAACATTACCATAACAGTAATGCTGTCTCTGGAACCACCTTCTAAAGCAGTATTTATAAGTTCACGGCCAATGTACTCAGCTGCACCTCCATAGAAATTCTTAGCATATAGTTCTTCCTTGCTGCAAGGGTCATAATTAGTCACTTCTGGAGGAAATGTTTCTGTATTTTTAGCCTGATAAATGCAAGCGTCAGAAAATACTGAATTAGATGACCTTTTCATTAGATTAGTAGTTGACATAACTTCTTCATACTCAGGTTTGTACTGGAACAGCACTCGGATGTTACTGTCTGATGGCGAAAGAGGCTCTTTAGATGGCCAGGATTTGTTTTTAGGGCCAGAAGCACATGTTTGTTTATATGCATGAAACAAGGTTATTACCAGTGCAGTGACTTCCTTCTTGTCCAGAACTTCCCAAAGCCCATCAGTGGCTAAGATGAGAAACTGACATAAATCATCTATAGGGACAGAAATCGTTTGGGGTGCTGGAATAATGAACTTCTTCAGTGTGAGGTTTCCATGGAATCCAAGACCTCTGGTGGTTTTTATGTGCCCTTCCAGGAGGCCATTTGAACTGATGACTGCTCCTCTCTGAAGGACTCTTCTTCTCTCTTTGGTGTTTCGTGTAGTGTGTTCTTTGGTCAGGCAAAATCCTTTTCCATTTCTGCATAAGACGGCTTGCACATTGCCTAAAAGGGTGGTTTGTTTGTTTTTTTTAAAGAGAGAGACCTAATTATCAGTTTGTGTTAAAGTATGCTACTTACTAATTCTGTTTCAATACTAAACACAAAGTATGCCATGTAAATATATTTAGAATACTTAAGCTGATCACTGTACAAATACGATTTTGAACTGGGAAACCACCTAATTCAATTATCAGTGATAACCAGTAGCATTTAAAATATTTAACTAAAACTACAGGTCATGAAAAATAACTTCTGAATCAAGTTTTTATGAAACTTATCAAAATGATTTTTACTATTTCTTAACATCTATGCAGATTTTTTAAATATTCAAATAAAGTTTTTTTAATGACTAAATTATGTGTATGTGTGGGTATGTGCACATGAGGAGGGTAGAGGCCAGAAGAGAGTATTGGATCCCCTAGAGCTGAAGTTACAGTTGGTTGTGAGCCACCCAGCATGAGTGCTGGGAACTGAACTCTAATCCTCTGGGGAAGCAGCAAGTGTTCTTAAACACTGAAACATCTCTCCAGCAACAAGTTTTATTATTATTATTATTATTATTATTATTATTATTATTATTATTATTTGTTTTATTATTAAAAAACAAGGCCGGGGGTGGTGGTGGCGCACACTTTTAATCCCAGCACTCGGGAGGCAGAGCCAAGCGGATCTCTGTGAGTTCAAGGCCAATCTGTTATACAAAGTGAGTTTCAGGAAAGGCGCAAAACTACACAGAGAAACCCTGCCTCAAAAAACCAAAAAAATAAAAAATAAAAAACAAAATTTTGGGGGGTTGGAGAGATAGCCCAGCAGGAAAGAACACATACTGGCAGAGGACCTGCGTTCAGTTGCTAGCACTCACGTAGGTTGGTACACAACTGCTTGTAATTCCAGGTCTAAGGAGATCTGATGCTCTTGTATTTGTGTGCACAGACCCACACACATACACATAAAAATAATAAACACTTAAAGCACTTAGGGATTGGTAAGAGGGCTAGTAGGTAAAGGTACCTGCTGCCAAGCCTCATAAACCTGAGTTCCATCCTTGGATCCCATGTGGTGAAAACAACTGGCTTCTGCAAGTTGTCCCTGTGTGTTCATAGGTACATAGGTACACACACAGACACACAAAGTAAAAAAAAAAAAAAAAAAAAAATTGTAACTGGTTAAAGTTAAAACTTGAATATATTTAGGATATGGATCATAAAATTGGCTTCTGTAAATGTGTGATTAAACTAAGTTCTGTGAAAATTCCTATTAGGGAAATAGCCACTTTAAACCCTGTAGTTGAAAACTGAAGTCTTCAGTAAATGATGGCAGTATAATATGATCATAGTTGAGATGAACCTGTGATATTTGTGTCATATTGCTTCATGGATGTTCTGAAGTCTAAACATGGTCTGAACAGATTGAGATGCTGTTAAAAGAGGGGTCCCCCCCAAGATTTTAGAATCATCATTATGTTTAAAAACAAGCAGTGGTTCTTGGTACAGAATTGTGATTCACAAGTTACTTAAGCTGGCATTGGTATCTGAATACTCTTATCCTTGAAAATTAAAATTCCTACTTTAATATGCCAATTCTAAAAGTAAAATATTGTGGGACCATTGAGATGATTCAGTGAATAGAGGCACCTGATGACCTGAGTTTGATTTCCTGGAACCCATGAGGTGAAAGGAGAGACCCTGCTTCCAAAAGCTGTCCTTGACCTCAACATATATGCCATGGCATATATACACACGTACCACACATTTTAAAAATAAGAATATTTGTTGGGTGGTGGTTGCAAGCCTTTAATCCCAGCACTTGGAAGACAGGCAGGTGGATCTCTGAGTTTGAGGCTAGCCTTGTCTGTCTACAGAGCGAGTTCCAAGACAGCCATGGCTATACAGAGAAATCCTGTCTCAAAAAAAAAAATAATAATAATAATATTATGGTCTTAAACCTAGAGCTATACTTGGAATCAGAATTTTGTTGCTAATGAGTTTAATTCTATTCCTTCTACTTTTAACTTATTTTTGTTTTGAAATAGAATCTCAGTATATAGCCCAGGCTGACCTAAACTTGAGATCTTCCTGTTTCTGCCTCATTTGCTGGAAAAGCCTTCAATTTTTTTTTTAGACAAAAAAAAAAAAAAAAAAAAAAAATCTAGGCTTAGGAGCCTGAAATACATCAAACTAGTATGATTGGACAGAAAGCCTGACTTGGTATCAGATATACAATGGAATTGGCTCATTAACATAATGGAATGAATGATTATTTGAGCTCGTGGTTTGGTTGCAAAATGTGGCCCTAGAGGTAATGCAAATGATGTTTCTGCAAATTGCATGGCTTTGTGTTTTGGTTATTCTTTTATGCTTACTTGCGGACTTTCTGCTTTGATTCTGTAGCAGGTAAGTCAGTAATTCTTGGATGGGGGTGGGAGTTATTTTGGGGTTTTGTTTGTTTTTCGATTTTTCAAGACAGGGTTTCTCTGTGTAACAGCCCTGGCTGTCCTGGAACTCACTCTGGACCAGGCTGGCCTTGAACGCACAGAGATCAGCCTTCCTCTGCTTCCCAAGTGCTGGGACTAAAGGCATGTGCCACCATCACCCAGCTTTGTTTTTGTTTTGAAACAAGCTTTATGTAGCTGAAGCTGGCTTTGAACTCCCTTTGTAGCTGAAAATGTCTAAGCTCCTGGTCCTTCTGCTATCATGTGCCATCATGTCCTATTCGCCTGGGTCTTATGCATGCTGCAAACTGAGCTATGTCCCTAGCTTTAAGTCAGTAGTTGAATCCTGTCAGGTTATAAGTAACTGTCACCAGCAAAGCAACACAGAGTGGCACTTAACATGGCAACTTGGATGAACTATTAGGATGTAGGACCTCGTTTAAAACGGAGGAGATAATGTGTAAATAATGCTACCATAGCTTTAAAACTATGGAGGCCATAGTTCTACTCCCTAATGTTGATTACCATGTGGAATTCCTAAGCCCACTCAGTAAAAGAAGTCATTGCTCCTTGATGTTGCAGAAGAGCTTGAATTCACATACCAACTTAAAAGGGAAGGTGGTAGGCAAGCATTTTGACTTTATTTACTTCTATTGAGAGAGGGCTTGGTAAATTTAGCCTTATATCATGGTGTGTGTGTCCCCCTGCCCTAACATACACAAAATGTAGATAAAGGTACTGAAATGGCAGAGAGATGAGAATAATTCAACTGTTTAGAAGGAGTAGTATCTTGGGAGGTTAAGGCAGGTGGACTGCGAGTGTGAGGCCAGCCTGAGCTTAATATGAGACCATTGTGTCCAAAAAATTAAAAGGGGGCAGTAGTAGTCTGGGTCAGGCACTAACCCATCTCACCAAACAGGGTCCTGAGTAATGTACTGTTAAGTCCCCTATATTGATGAGCTGATGAACAAAGTACGAAGTTCTTAAGTCAGAAAGTAATAATAGATTTCAGAGATGGATCGATGGCTAAGAACGCTTGAGGCTCTTCTAGAGGACCCCAGTTCAGTTTCTAGCACTCTATCCGGTGGGTAACTCCAGCTTCAGGGGATCCAGTGTCCTCTCTTCTGACCCACTGGCTACCTGCACATGGTGTGTTAAATTAACAAAAATGCAAAAAAAAAAAAAAAAAGTATTGTTTAAAAAAAAAACAGGCCGGGCGGTGGTGGCGCACGCCTTTAATCCCAGCACTCAGGAGGCAGAGGCAGGTGGATCTCTGTGAGTTCGAGGCCAGCCTGGTCTCCAAAGCGAATTCCAGGAAAGGCGCAAAGCTACACAGAGAAACCCTGTCTCGAAAAACCAAAAAAAAAAACCAAAAAAACAAAACCTGGTGCAGGGTGGTGGTTGTGCAAGCCTTTAATCACAGCACTGGGGATGCAGAGCCAGGCAGATTGCTGTGAGTTCAAGGCCAGCCTGGGCTACAGAGTGAGTTCCAGGAAAGGCGCAAAGCTACACAGAGAAACCTTGTCTTGAAAAACCAAAAAAAAAGCAAACAAAAACCTGGTAACTGACCAAATCTCAGAAAATGAAAAAAATAAATAAATAAAAGGGAGTAGGAAAGGGAAGGAGAAAAGGTGAGGGGAAAGAGAAGAAATGGTAAGTGAATTTGAGAACAGTCAAGGAGCCCTGTGTAGTGGTGCACAC